GTTTAAACTCAGGACCTTGCACTTGTGAGGCAGGTGTGGCACCACTGAGCTAAATCCCAGCTCCTTCTTTCTCCTTTTTGTACCACCTCTGTTGTCTCACTATTTTTCTTTTTTTTTAATCTTAAATTTATCGGTACATTTTAGGTATACAATGCAGTTACATTCATCATTGATCACCGGTTTTCTACAATACCTCTTCCAGGCTTCCAACCATCACCCCTCCACCCGCGGCCTGACCTACACTGTTCTACCCAGCCGGGTTAAGAACTTAGCCCAGTATGGGATGGCCATCAAGGAAATGTGCAGAGCGTTCCCCACCTACTTTGCCCAGCAGCAAAAAGAAGGTGTGTTAACAATTTACCTCAAAAGCCAAGGCTGTGGGGGAGTTCAAAGGTGCAGTGTGAGTTGTAAGTAATCGGCAGACTTAATGAGAGTCGATTCTGCTTCTGTCAGTGGTATAAGAGCAACCTGACCTAGGGTGTATTCCCCCTGCTGGCAGAAATTTCTTGACACCAGAGGTCCTCAAATGGGGAGCAGAAGGTCAAGGCCAGCATCTCATCACTAGGGGACGCCCTTGCCCGACTCAAAGCTTCATCATCCCCTGCCTGAGCAGCCCCATATCCCACCACTGGAGAGACGCTCTAGAGTCCCTGGCCCTTCTCTTTCTCAAGCTTCTTGTGGGGAGTCAAGACCCCAGTGTTTATAGAACAGTCCAGGAAAGGAGCATCTCGGTGGCTGGCACCCTTGCTGGGGATGAGATGAGCATCTGTAGTGACCAGCTTGGAGAGACTTCCCGATGTACCTGCTGGTCCAGATGTAGTCAGAGACATCTCTCCAACAGGCTGTAGACAGTCATTTGTACCTTGTTATAAGAAGGCAAGCCTTCTTTGTAACAGGAGGAAAGCATGGAAACTTGAGGGGCTGTGGAATTACGAAGGAAAATTAAGGATGAGTAAAAGCAATAGAAAGAGAAGGTATGCAGCTAATTATTCCCAGGGTGGCAGGAAGGTTGGAGGAGGGACTCTTTCATGTCAAACCCACAGTCTCTTGCTAGTTGAGCTCTCCTGAGCAAACATGCAATTTAGGTGCAACTCATAATGTATCTGCTTTGCTTTGGGGCCTTAAGGACCTGCTTGTAAACTTTACAGGTACCGCGCTGGCAGTTGACCCTAATTCCTGTTTTGAAGTCCAGCTTCTGTCCTACATGGGACTCTCCATCTGTGGTGAGATCCCTGGGCTCTGAGAGTGCGAATCCGCCAAGTCAAGAGAGGACCCACCTGCTCTGGGCCACTGTCGTGGGGTCAGTGTCCAGTGAGACAGAAGCTGCTCATTTCAATTCTCTCCCTCTGCCTTCCCGCTGATCTCTGTAATCTCACCACATGAGTGCAATTCCTCCTTGTAGGTTACAATAATAAAGCGTCTTTCATTACTGGTCTGGCAGACAGACCTGCCTGCACTGTCCTCACTCAACGATGCAATCCAGAATGTCACCTACATGCAGGACAGAAGGCACTGCTCCTACAGCTCCTGTTTCTGAGAGTTTCTCTTTAGGATGTCCCCTGAAGAATCCCTTGAGAATTTTTGTTCTTGTTTTGTTTTGTTTGGGGTGGGTGAGGCAGGGTCTTGCCATGTAGTTCAGGCTGGTCTTGAACTCACTATGAGGCCCTGGCTGGCCTTGAACTCATGACAATCTACCTGTCTCAGCCACCCAAGTGCTGAGATTACAGGAATGCGCCACCATGCCTGGCTCTCCCTTGAGAATTTTAGACAATAAACAAAGACACCAGGCACAGCAGACTGGACTCTGAAGTCTGAGGCTATGACTTTGCCTCCTGAAAACTAAAGCCAAGATTCCAAGAGGCCTGTTCTCTGGAGGTGCAGCCTGTACCATGAACATCTCTAAAAACAACCCAAGTTAGCCTTTTTGGAACTGGCCTAATGCCTCACATGGTAACTCCTGGAGCAGTTGCCTCCATCACAAATTAAAACAGGACCTGAGTGCTTAGCTGTCCTTGTTTAACTGTTTCATTTTAAGACAAAGTCTTGTTCCCTTCACTAACCTTTCCTTACTAGACCGAGGTACCTCAAACTTTTTTCTCCAATACCAAGAATTGAACTCAGGACCTTGCACTTGCCAGACAAGTGTGACACCACTGAGATAAGTCCTCAGCCCCAGTTACCTCAAACTATCCCTACCTCTCCACTTCTCAGCAGTCCCAGAGACAAGCTGGCTGGGCCCAAGCTCAAGTCTGTAGGTTGGGTTGGGGAGGCATGCTCACCTGACCCAGATAGCAAGCACCCAAGTGTTTATTACCTGCATAATCAGAAGTAGTGCCCTTTGCTCTGCTTAGAATGTGCCGTCTGACCTTGTTGTGCTGCCTGACTGGACTGGAGCACACCTTGCAGCTTAGCCTGCATCTTAGCAGTCAGTGTGGGTGAGCTTTGCACTCAGGCAGCCTCTGCAACCCATTGCAAGTGGAGCTGTGGCTGCTCTCCTCGGCCCTGAAGAAGGAGGACAGCCCAAGATGCCTGGGCCTGGCTCTAGGCACCATGAAGCCATAGCACAGGACTTTCAAGCTTGCTGTGGACTTCAACAATCACCAGTGAATTTACTCCCTGGAGCTGCTGAATTTTATTCTGTTGTGCTTTAAATGCTATAAACATATCAACATTTTTATTGAGGAATAACAGGCAGTGAAATGCAGATTTTAAGGGCACAGCTCAATGTATTTTACAAATATACTCCATGGAGCCCTCACTCAGATGAAGACAAAGAACATTCCCAATGCCCCAGAAAGTTCCCTCATGCGCTTTCCAGCTAATCCGTGCCCATACCTCTGGCCAAGGGCATGAAAGGGGCAGCAGTGGAGCAAATGAAGAGCTCTGAGCAAAATCAAACACACCCTGCAGACCCTGCAGGAGGTGGAGGTCAACGTCAGACAATAGGAGCTGGCGAGTGTCCCATGATTCTCCTTGTTTTAGTGATTAGTTTGGGTGAATAACGGAGGTCATAACCCAGAATGCAGGATGGCTGGCTTTGGCCAGGCAACATGTTCCTGTTCAATGTGCTGAGGGCATGCAAAGGCAACTTCAGAGGAAGGCTGCAGTGTGGGCTGCACTAGTAGAGGTGCGAGTTCTTGGGGTGTCATGGGCTGCAACAAAAATGGGGGGCCCAAGTGACAGCCAGGAACTCCTTCCCTAGTGCTCAGGAACATGCTTTCACCTCAGAGTTGGATAAGCCCCGAGACCCCAGGAAAGGATTGACAGTGTCTTAAATCGTCTTCAGCCCTTTGCATCACCATGGCTGCAGCCTCAGGCATTTGCCTGAGAACTGAGGGAGCCCTGGGCCTGGTGTCTGGCTGACAGAAGGACCAGCAGGCTCGGCAGAGCCAGGCAACACTTGACTTCGCAGTCACTCCATGAGTAACCACAGAATTTGGTTTTCTGCAATAAGAGCAGGAATGTGGAAGCCTAGGATTTGCAAAGCCACAGGGATGAGAGAAGTGGAGGCAACAGGGCTGAGGTGATCCAGGTGCCTGTGTGTGTATAATCACTGAGCTAACGCCAGGCTCCTTTAAGTGCATCTCCAAGAAATGCGTTCAACCGCAAATAAAGAGAGCCCAGTCACAGTGACTGAAGAGATGGAGACTGATTTGGATTATGGAAGTCCAGAGCTGGTACAGCTCTGAAATTATACACTCGGGTATTCCAGCCCTTTCTTCGTTTTTCCTGAACTTTTCCTCCCCAAGACTGTTACCTCTTGATCCTAAAACAATTGATGCATCTTCTCACTTCAGGTCACATCCATGTTGAAGGAAGGATAGATAACAGAGACGGGAAAGAGGCACAGGTGGGTGCCAACTCAGTCTGTTCCTCTTTATTAAGTAAAAAGTATTTCCTGGAACTCCCACCCAGTAGTCTCCCACCTCCATATCACATGGCAATCCATGGGCCTGTCACAGGCCAAGGAAAATAATACTACCTTATTTTCTTAAGAAAGCCTGGATTGATTTAGGCTTTCCCAACCTTGACAATATTCACATTCTTTGAACCAGAAAGTTCATTATTGTGGGGGCTGCCCCAGGTATGCTGGGGCGTTTAATAGTATCCTGGTTTCTATCCACTAGATGCCAGTAATGTCCCCTCCCATTGTGATCCAAAGTCACTAGAGGAGGGAAGAAAAAAAATCACATCCCCATCAAAAGCCACTGACTTAGACTAATCATAATGAATTCCCTGACACTAAATGACTATTATTAACTGTTACTTAAACAAACTGGGCTTCTGTTAGCAGAAAGGAGGAAGGTAGGGACTAGGGATCAGATACTTAGTGAACTTTTCTTTGCCAAAGAGTATCTTTCAACTCTAACCAGCAATCCATAAGTGAGCGTTTCTTCAAAAGGTCACAGTCCCTTTAGTTTTTGCCTGCTTTGGGTTACTCTGATACATTTAATCATGTTTTATATCTTTCAGACTTGTGATTTTTGTGGCAAAAGGGTTAGTCATAACTACCATTATCAGAAACTAGAACTCTTCATGTTTTATTAATTCATCACTTTATTATGCTTGGTTAACTAATGCTTGGGTTCATGTATTGAGTCAACTGTTCAAATAAGTCTCATATTTGGTTCCGTATATTCCAATCCTGGAATCTCTGACAAAGCAAATCACATTTACGCCTGCCTCAGGTGAACAAATGTGAAAGCTATGTGGCACTTTCTGTAAGGAATAAAACCTTTGAGGAGATAAGAAACCACCTACAAGCCTCACCTGACTTCCTGAAAAGCTCTACAACATATTCTTCTGCATCATCACCTGCTCTCTTCAGCCAGTGTAGAACCCTAGTCGTTCTCCTACAGTCCTGGATGTGTTGTTTGGTCCAGGTTCACTCCTCCTTTCTGATGGCCTAGGGAGCTCCAGGCTACAGGTTGAGCAAGCTGTGAAATGAAAGACTTAGTATCTACTTTCCTCAGCCTCTAAGAAGGGGCCATTTATGGGAAAAAAAAAA